GAACTGCCAGGCGTCTCGCAGTTCAAGTGCACTCTTCCCATCAGCCCCTTCGCCATCTCTCCCCACTACAATACTTCATGTAAACACGTCATATGGGCATCACTGCTTTTTTACAAAGAGACGCCTGGGTACGAGGCAGGGGAATTGCCTATTATCGAGTAAACATTTATATTTCGAAGTGACTACACAGCCAGCATTCAGCCGGCTATTTAGTAAACTGCTGGCTGTGTAGTGACTATAGTTAAAGTTGAATTTTTATACGATAAACCGATCCCAAACCCTTCTCGAACTCTAACCTTTTGAGAGTTAGAAAAGGCGGGGGAAAAGTTTAAAATTTTGTCATGCAAGAACAGACAACTAAACAGTCAGACAGAACACAACCCGATCGACCCGGACTGGGTTTCACTTTCCGAACGCAGCGCCTTTACGCGCTAACGACAAGTTCAGTAAAAGCTAGCACAAGTTTTTATGTTTAACTAGGACACTATATAGCCGGCAGTTCCTAAATACCCGCCTGACGGCTAAATAGACACTTCGTTTATATTTGATGGTATGATAAAGAATGTCCAGATTGCGGTCTCTTCTCTACCACAATCAACTGGCCGAAAGCCACCATTTTTTTTTGTAATAAAAACAGACAGAACAAGTCTTAGAGTTATATATGAATTGGGTACAAAATTGCCGAGGTAAATATTGTACCCACATTTAATAAGATAATTATATGTATACTGAATGAAAAAAAAACATACGATCTGTAAAGAAATTTTATTAGGTTTAACTCAATTTAGGAAGCAATTCTATATAATTCTAAGATATCATGTGACTAATGCACCATATAACAAAATTCTAACGTAACATATAATTCTAAATGTGTTGACTATAAATGTACTACGTATTACAAACTTTCAACATCCCATAATTATGAATAGACAATCGATATTATTAGAAAAGCATGCATGTGTCACTCATACAAAAGGTTAACGACATACTTCGGGGTACAATTTTCTAGGCTAGTGCCGGATTAACCTTTCCGCGGGCAAAACTATTTCTCCTTCCCGACAGGTTCCTATTATATAAATCACTCATGATTTACTCACTTCGCGGTTTCATATCTTCAGTTCGGTAAATGCTACGTGGACCAAAATACCACCATTCGATTCAGTGTAACGATAGCTAGCTACTCATTCCTATCGGTAGATTTAGTGAATGGCAACATTATAGCGATTTAGGAGCTTTGGAAGTCAAACGAGCTCGTATATGACTGAAATTACGCAATATTACTGACAAATTATACCCATAAACATACCTTTCGCCGAATATAACTTCGTCCCATTGAGACGTACGCTCATTCTGATAGTCTTGATGAATGAAGCAGTTAAAAATAACATGTATACTGATATTTTCAAGCTTCTCTCTTTAAAGTGTGACTTTTAATGCCGAATTTTGCATTTCTGCTCCGAATGTGTGTTAACCCAACCGGAAATACGACGAAAGACCGTCAAAACAATGCTACGCTTGTATCGCGTGACTCTGGAAATGCCAGAAATGGATTCTATAGGTCAAAGTGCACCCATACGCGTGAGTTTGACGTCATCCCGGCTAAAGGAGCTCCCTTATTGGCCAAGTATTAGGTAATACAAGCGCGTGCAAGTAAAACCCGATACTTTAAAAATTCAAAATAAATATTTCTAGTCGGCGTATACATACGAAACTTTCTACACGAAAGCGCTTGAATTCAAAGAGTATTTTACACATATAGCATTTCAGAAAATGACGACAAGTTTAGAATATATTCAACTTTTTCTCTTTTTATCTTTTGAATGTTTGGCGAAGCGGTGAGTATATAGCCCGCGTGCAGGCCCAAGGGAACTGATAGTGGGCCTGCAAGCAAGGCCCGGTATTTTGTACTTTCTGCGTTCGCCCACGAACGCGGCATTCTGATTGGCTGTTTGCTGTTAGATTCTATAATTAGGTCAGTGATTCATCACAAAGGCTCTCGATAAGCTTAAAATTCGAAAATTGATCACTCTTTTCGATTACAAATGGAACAAGAACAGACTGTTTATTGTTTACTTGAAGGAAGAGATGTTTTTGCCGTTATGCCAATGGGGATTGCTTGTCGTGAGGTGTTGGAATAGCAACATTACGACTGGGGTCAACTATAGTGACCTTTACTTGAGTTTCATTAATTTCAAACAGACTTGATACGTTATATGTTCCTCAAGAAAATGACCTTTTGGTTGATGTTGAGATGCAGTTGCATGTAAGGCTATTCGAAACTCTTTGCGATTTACAAGGCTTCGCTGAGAGAGCGAAACAGAAGACGGTAATGGGATTAAATTGCCGTTTGAAACGAAACGATCTCGACTCTGAACGC